AAAAAGGGTTCACCACCTCTGCTATACAGGGTCAGAACTGACAGCTTCAACAGGGACCCACACCTTTTTACAGCTGATAGATAGCTGATGGAGTCCTGGTGTGGCACTGCAGGACAATGCACTGGATTGCAAGGTCAGTTTGAACTGCAAGGTCAGCAGTTCAAACTCACCAGCCACTCCTTGGAAGCCCTATACAGGGTTGCTGACTCGAAGGCACTTAACAGTAACAATAAGTAGCTGATAGATAGCTGTTTTCCAGCTGCCGGCCTCAAGTTGCCTTAATACACAACAAAATATTGGAGTCTTAGCCTCACAATTGCAGCATGGTTAAGTCCATCTCAGCAGCTACTGGGTCAATTCCTTTGACAGAGGGGCTCCTTCATGCTCTCTGGCCCTCCACTACACCAAGCATGATGTATTCCAGTGACTGATCCCTCCTGATGACATCTACAATGCAAGCAAATCAATGTTCTGTTTTCTGTGGCTAATTTTGAAAGTAGACCACTAGGCCTTTCCTCTTGCTCTAAGTCTGGTAGCTCTGCTGAAACCTGTCTACCTTGGGTGAGCCTGCTGCTATTTGAAATTTCCGCAGCATAGCTTTCAGCATCACACCAATACACAAGCCACTACAGTAGGACAAGCTGGACTTTAGGGAGGGAAATCTGAGGACTGCCTCTAGAGATATAAGGAAAAGCCCTTTCACCCAGGACCTTGTTGTTGTTAAGTGCCATCCAGTCACTTCCGAGTAGGAACTGGTGAGTTTAAACTGCCCACATTGCAGACCAGCGCATTAATCCACAGCGCCAAACCAGGACCTTGTAGGTTGTGATAAAAAAAAACTTCATCCTGTGTGTGAGTTTTTTTCCTATGGAATGTTAGAACAAAAGTGTTTCTAATACAACCCAAAACATATGGAGAAATAATTCAAAGTTATTTTTCTTCCTTGCCATCAAAATTCCATAAGATGCCATTTCTTTTGCTTAAACTGACAATAATGATTTGCTTCTGTTAGATAATCCTCATATCGACTCTATACAGTATTTCTGAGATTTGTAAGTCTTTACCGGGAGCAGACAGCCTCATCCTTCTTCTAAGGAGCTAATTTCTGTTATACAAGAATGGCTACTATTTACGAGGAAACAAGTTCTGTGGGATGGCAACTTCCATAGAGGCAAAGAGATCCACTATTAAGAGAGGCTACTTAACTGACTCAGGAGAACAGAACTACCTAGAGGCGTTTCCATAAATCTTAGAATTGAAGCTCAAATTTTTAAGACTGGAAACACCTTGCTCTTTCATCCATCCCACACAGTTTGCTTATTTTGCTATTGTTGATCCACATTTGATACGTTTGAAGGCCTTCTACCGCAAAAAAAAAAAAGCTATCAAAATAAGTCCAGACGCAACACCAGGGGCACCTGTTCTTAAGTGCGGTCGAGTCGCTTCTGACTCATAGAGACCCCACGTGAGTATAAGGTTTCCGTTGCTTTAAATTTTCACGAGAGCAGAAATCTCATCTTTTTCCCACGAAGCGGCTGGCGGGCTCGAACAATGGGCTTGGTAGTTCACAGTCCTAGTAGTTATAATGAGCGGCGCTACAGCCAGTCACCTGTTAATGGGCGGGGAGACTGCATTTTGTTGCGGCAGTTATCCGGAGAATACGGGCTCCCAATCTCAGTGCAGCTCCCCCTACCCCGCCCCCAGAGTACGCGCCTCCACGCGAGGCCCGACACTGGCACGCGCACAGGCAGGAAGCCATCCCTGAGCTCCTTTGCCTTAGAGTAGTTCTCCCCTCCCCCGGTGCTTCCTTTCAGCCACGCACCCAGGGTCGCCGATCGCCCTTTTCCAGGCCTTCTTCATCCCCTGAACAGACCAAGCACAGTGAGGCCCCTACCCTCTGATCCCACGTTGCACAACGCCAGAGCCGAACCTCCCAGGGTGTGAACCCCGGCGTCCCAGCCCCTGGGCGGGGACAGGCGGTGGCACTGCGGGGAGCAGAGGCGGCCAGCGTGCAACAGGCCCAATCCACTGGTCCCGGCGCTGCGAGTCTCCCGGGAGCCGCGGCTGCAGGCCCCGCACCACTCAGCCCCTCCGCCAGGCCCGCCCGCTGCTCCTCACAGGCCGCCGCCGCAGCCATGGCGGAAGTTCATAGACGTCAGCATGCTCGGGTTAAAGGAGAAGCCCCCGCGAAATCCTCCACACACAGAGATGAGGAGGAGCTGGGGATGGCGTCGGCCGAAACGCTGACCGTGTTCCTGAAGCTGCTGGCTGCCGGCTTTTACGGCGTGAGCTCCTTTCTCATCGTGGTGGTGAACAAGAGCGTGCTCACTAACTACAGGTAGGGCCAGGCGGCCCAGGCCACGGAGGAGGAGCGGGCGGCGGCGGCGGGGCGCTGGCCCCGTGGACTTTGGTTGCCAAAGTTAAAGATGAACAAAGTTGGGCGGGAGGAGGAGAGGGCGGGCAGTCGACGCGCGCAGCCCGAGCGGTGGCCTGGGGCGGCCAGGCGGCGGAGTCGGGTTGCGCGCGGGACCGGAGCTGGGGTCCCGCTCCTGGCGCGGAGCTGGGGCCGCCAGGGCGCGCTTTCCGAGACATGTACGGGTAGCGCCTGCTGTGCGCTCTAACGGCGCCCCGAAAACCCTGACATTTGACGGTGATGGAGCAAACTTGCTTTGTGACTTTTTGGCCCCCATGCATGCAAGGCAGGGAAGAGCTTCCAGGTCGGGGTCTGGGGCTGCAGTGGTTCCCCGCGTCCGCTGACAGCCTTAGGGATGTACGCATCTTCAAGCCCATTTACAGTTCTTTGGTTGCTACCACTAGGATTCTGAGACAGAAATATATATATATATATATATGTTGTTGTTGTGTTGTTAAGTGCCGTCGAGTCGGTTCCGACCCATAGCGACCACAGGGTTTCCGAGGGTGTAAATCTTTACGGGAGTAGAAAGCCTCATCCTTCTCCCGCGGAGCGGCTGATAGTTTCGAACCGCTGACCTTAAGGTTCGCAGTCCGATTCGTAACCACTACGCTACCAGAGCTCCATATATATAATTTTAAAGGGGTCCGATTCATAACCACTACGCTACCAGAGCTCTCTCTCTCTCTCTATATATATATATAATTTTAAAGGGGTGAAACCACTGAAGAGATCTATTTCTTAACTTGAAAAATCCATTGCCGGTAGTCGCCTGAAATTGTAAAATCGGACAAGATGAGACAAGTGGCTGCCCAAGGCTACAAAATCATCCAGGTTGCCTGCCAAGTGACAGGGGTTTTTCTCACAAGATTTTCATTTGGATAAGCTGCAGACGTCGGTGTGGATGGTATTAACACGTTAAGGTGATGGATTTGCAAAGTGAATTCCCCGGACTTCGTTTGGGCTTGCTGACTCTGTTCTTTTCTTTCCCGTTTCTGTAGATTTCCCTCCTCACTATGTGTTGGACTTGGCCAGGTTAGTTGGACCTTCAGCATTACGTGGTTTATGTTGCTGGAACTTCTGTGTGTGTCTTTCTATGTGAAACAGTGAATCTGTGTTCTCTGTTTACAGATGGTGGCCACAGTGGCAGTTCTCTCGGTGGGAAAGGCGCTCAGGGTAGTCAAGTTTCCTGACCTTGATAGAAATGTACCTCGAAAGGTAATAAAATATAGTGACACCCTATTATGAAAATAAATCACTATATATTTTTTAATTAGTTCCCTGCAGCCTTGAAATCACCCGATTGAGACTGGGTAACATGGAGGTAAAGAATAGAAGTAGTAATGTGTTTTAAAGAAACCCTATATTGTCCTTAAAATTAAGAAGAAAGTAAATTAGGGAATATGAGCTTTGTTTTTACTTAATGCACACTTGTTTAGAGCACAACAGTTTTACAATTTGAACATTCATCTAATTTAGCTAATGTATCCTTCATTAATTATTCTTTGGGTTTATTTTCATATTTTTTTCTGCCTACCTTTGCTTGGTTGTACATGAAGATGAAATGTCTCACCTTTTTCTGCTGACAGTAGAATCATAGGCTAATATATTGTTAAGTGCTGCCGCATTGCTTTCAACTCATAGCCACCTTCTATAGGGTTTATGAGGAGCAGCTGGTAGGTTTGAACTGTCAACTTTGTGGTTCAAACTGACTTTTTGGTTCAGTGCTTGCATATCTACAGCATCACACCAGTACCAATATAATTTAAGTATAATTGATTTAAAGCAAATGATGTTTCTGTCCCACTTGATTTAATCACATCCCTATTTCTGTTTCTTTTCTCCTTTTCCTTACTCTCTCTTTTTCTGTTGTAGTAATGTTTATTCAAGATGAGTTAATATTATTTGGTGCTTCATTGAGGCCAAAACTTTGTATGACAACCAATCATTGTGTTAAGTGGAAAGAATTTGATCATATGATAAAACTGCTTGTTTGAAAGGACCTTGTTTAGCTGTCTTTATCAAAACTCCTGTCTTTAATGAGTTTTGTTATCCCTTTTTAAATTTTCTAGACGTTTCCACTACCTCTACTATATTTTGGGAACCAAATCACGGGACTGTTCAGCACAAAGAAACTGAAGTATGGATAACTTTATTTTACTAGTGAGGTTACGATAATGTATTCTTAAAATTATACTTGAATGTCAAATATTTAACATACTGTTACTGATTTTGAATAAAATGAAAGGACCAGGAAACTTTTAGTATTAAATAATGAAGAATGTACTAGAGATTTTAGTTTAAACTCTTTAGATATGAAGAAACTGATGAGTTTTATTTGTCTTGGGGTTTTTTTCTCCTACTTTACTGAAAATCCTGCCTTGGGTAGTCTTAAAATGCTGTAAAATAATGTAACCAGAGATTTTCATTGTTTTTCCAGACATGCTGCAGTAAAGGATATATTCTGGGCTTCCAGAATTTCAATTTTTTAAAACATTTATAAATGTTTTAGGTAAATTCCACACAACAAGTCAGAGTGGGCCTGAGGCTTTTGCAGTTCTTTTAATCTGAAGTTGTTGTTAAGTGCAGTCACTTCCAGCTCATAGTGACCCTGTATAGCAGGGGTAGAGAACCTCTTTTTCTGCCAAAACTTATAACTTTATTGGCAGGCCATACAAAATTATCAGTGTAAAAATTAGCTTGCTGTATTTGGTCAATAATTTAATTAACTCTCCCCTAAGGAACTCTGGTAGCGTAGTGGTTATGAATCGGGCTGCTAATCTCATGGTCATCAGTTCAAAACTACCAGCTGTTCTGCGGGAGAAAGATGAGGCTTTCTGCTCCCGTAAAGATTTACAGCCTTGGAAACCTTGTTCAGGGTCACTATGAGTCAGAACTGACTCCACGGCACAAAGCAAATGCAATGTTGAAGTCCTAGTGCAGTGCTGTAGGCTAATGCGCAGCACTGCTAAGTCACTTTGAACTACGAGGTCGGTTGTTCAAGCTCACCAGCCGCACCTCATAAACCCTGTACAGGGTCGCTGTGAGTTGGAACCGACTCAATGACACTTAACAACAACAACAGTGTGATGCCTGGAACTGCAGTTGCCTTGGCAGGGACAGACCAAATACCTTTGCGATCCTTATGATGCCTACAAGGAGCTCTAGTAGTGTAGTGGTTACAAGTCGGGCTACTAACCTTAACCTCCAGGTCAGCAGTTTGAAACTACCAGCTGTTCCGTGGGAGAAAGATGAGGCTTTGTGCTCCCATAAAGATGTACAGCCTCAGAAACCCTATTCAGGGTCGCTATGGGTCGAAACCGACTCGACGGCACTTAACAACAACAACAACAGGGTTTCCGAGGGGGTAAATCTTTACAGGAGTAGAAAGCCTTATCTTTCTCCCATGGAGCGGCTGGTAGTTTCGAACCACTGACCTTAAGGTTCGCAGCCCGATTCGTAACCATTACACTACCAGAGCTCCATATATATATAAATATATAATTAGTTTTTTTATACATGGCAGTGTAACTATATTGTTGTTGTTAAGTGCTGTCTGTTAGCTGCCTTCTCTCTGATGATTACTCATGGTTACCCTGCATGTGCAGAGTAAAACGTCTTCAAAGGGTTTCCAAGCTTGGCCTTTGGAAGATCACCACACCTATCTTCTGAGGCACCTCTGGTGGGGATTGTGAAGTTGATATTCTGACTCATTGCCACCCCATGTGACATAGTAGAGGCAAGGTTTCCTTGGAACCTTGGTGTGGCGCCGTAGGATAAGCACTTGACCTCAAGGTCAGGTTGAACCATAAGGTTGGAGGTTCAAACTTATTAGCCGCTCCTCAGAAACTCAATACAGGATCACTGTGAGTTGGAGTCGACTCGACACTACTTAACAACAACAACAATCTTTATGGAAGCAGGTTACTAGGTCTGGGAGGGCTTGAATCCCCAACCTTCTGTGATCAGCTTAGCGCTTGACCCTTGTGCCATGACACCACTATCTTGTTACCCTAAAAGACAAACAAAAATATCACTGTTGTGGAGTCAATTTTGACTCATAGAATAAAATAGAACTGTCTATAGGTAGCCGAGTGGTTACGAAGCGGGCTGCTAATCTTACGGTTAGCAGTTCGAAACTACCAGCTGTTCAGCGGGAGAAAGATGAGGCTTTCTGCTCCCGTAAAGAGTTACAGCCTCAGAAACCCTGTACAGGGTCACTATGAGTTGGAACTGACTCCACAGCACATAACAACAACAACAACATAGAATAAAGTAGAACTGCCCTCACAGGATTTCCAAGACTAATGTTTACAGAAGCAGGCTGCCACATTGTCCCCCTGTGGAGTAGTTCAAAACACTGACCTTTCAGTTAGCAGCTGAACACTAACACGCTAGGCTAATTATGTCCCTACCATACCCTAGAGCTCTTCTTATTACCCTGTAACTTCCCAATTCCTGGTCTCCACTCAGGAATGTGGTGTGTATTGGTTGTGTGTGCTATTAAAACTTCATATATAAGGAAGGTATTTGAAAGACTCTTGGCACCATCACTTCCACAAGAGCTAATGCTTTGGTATCCTGGATAGTTATAAAACAGAATGGGGGAATCTCTGCCAATCTCTGGGTACCATTTTCTTTTCCTTTAGACCCAGTAAACCTAACACAATGACCAAGGTGCTATCTCTAGGGGAGGGTTTTAAGGAAGTCAAAATTTATCCTGGTGGGGCATCCTTTTCCATCTTATTGAGGTTAAGTGCTAACCAGTCAGTTCCTACTCATAGCAACCCTATATATGGTGAGTGGTTGGTGAGTTTGAACCGCTGACATTGCAGTCCAGTGCTTTATTTTACAGTGCCACAGCAGGACTGCTTGCTGCTGCACAGTACAGTTTGTGTAGTTTGCTCTTTTCCTTCCATCTATCCATCACATGGATTCACTAATTCAAAACCTATCTTTGATTGCCAGCTATGTCTAAGGTACTTTAAAGTGTATGAGAATCTCATTTCCTGGGATAGATAGGTATATTCAGAAATTACTATTTGTACTAGTCTATTTTTGTATTAGAAAATACTCTAGGAACTTAAAGACAAAATTACTTCTACAAAAGGAAAAGCAAGGTATGTCTCATGGGGCAATGTTTTCATAGATGTTTTGGGAAGGGAGGTCAGTCCAATGGGGAAAAGAGTAAGAAAGTTTTTAATAAGACTAACATGCTCACAATTCCAGGGTGGCTGCACAATTAGCCAGGTAAAATAAGAAAGTGGGTATTATCATTCTGTGATAATAGTTGTATAATTTGTACCATTTTATAGTTAGTTGATGTCACCCATTTGTAGTTTTATAAAAGCACTTTTTATAGATTTTCAATAGGAATTATGTCTAGAGACAAGGAAGAGTTTAATTTAACTATAATTTAATCAGCATGAAATTTCCATACAGAAGAAGGGGATTAACATTATTTTAAAATGCTAATTTGGAGAAACTTAGTTTAACAAGAAAAAGTTTAACTTTATTTTACGTAATTCTTTTTTTTTTTGTAGCTTGCCAATGTTTACAGTTCTGAGGAGGTTCTCCATCCTGTTTACAATGTTTGCTGAAGGAGTTTTACTCAAGTAAGTTAAATTTCTAATATTTAGTCTTTGAATGCCTTTAATCATTTTGAAAATGTGCCCAGCATATATTGGATACTGAGATTATTTACCTTATTTCTACTTCAGTATTTGAGAAGTTGAAGCAACTCTCTCCATTGTTATAACAACTGATAATGTGGGAGCAGAAGGTAGAAGACCATGGCTTAGAACTTGGAAAGCTATCTGAACATTGATGTACTTTCTAGAATTTCTATACATCTTAACTGCTGCCATTGGGTGAAAAGCCAAAGCCAGTCATTTAGTCAATTCTGGTTCTTAGAGACTGTGTATAGGATTTCTGAGGCTGTAAATCTTTACAAAAGACAGCCTAATTTTTTTCCTGTGGATTGGCGGTGGGTTTGAATTGCTGACCTTGTTAGCATTCCAGTTCTTATCTTACAGGGCTCCTTGCCATTGGGTAAAGCCAGGCCAAATGATAGGTTATTTTTGTTAAGTGCTCACAGCAACTCTGCATAGGGTTTCCAAGGAGCAGCTGCTGAGCTTGAACTACCACCCTTGCAGTTCAAAGGAACTTTGCAGTCCAGCACATTAACCCACAGCGCCACACCAGGACTCCAAAATGATAGGATAGGCTTTAAAATAATGTTTATATCTTGGCTACTTTTACTACAAATGTGTGTCATCTTTTTCTACTTAAAGAAATTCTGATTTTGGAAATTCAAATGATAATAGTAAGAATAAGAAAAATGCTGATATAATTTTATAAATAAAGTGAGCTTTTGCAAATCAGGATTCTTTTTCATGGGAAAATTTTTAAATAGGATTGTTTATACTTCTTTAAAGAAAGCTTTACTTATACAAGGGGACTTCAAAAAGTTTGTGGAAAAATAGAATTAAAAGAATTTTTCCACAGATTTTTTAGTATTTTTGTGTGTTTTTTTAAAAATTGTCATTTATTTTGTTGTTGTTGATTACTTATATTTTATTCACTATGTTGAATTAGTATCTGAATAACTGATTTTGCTTATATATGTTTTGTTTTGTTTTTAACAAATTTACTTCTTTTTTGTAGGAAGACTTTTTCTTGGGGCATCAAGATGACTGTATTTGCAATGATTATTGGCGCCTTTGTAGCTGCCAGGTAAGATGTTGGCCCTTATAAAACCCATGATAATACATTAGAAGTTATCTATTATAATTGACAATAAATGATCAATTATCAGTAAAAAATAATTATCAAAAGCCTAAGTAAAATCAGTAGGAGCCCTGCTGGTGCTGTGGGTTGAGCATTTGGCTACTAAAACTTCAACGTTGTCTGTTCAAATCCCCAGACACTCTGACGGAGAAAGATGGGGCTGTCTGCTCCTATAAAGCTTTACAATCTTGGAAGCCCTATTGAGAGTAGCTGGAAGTCAGAATCAACTCAGTGGTAGTGATTTCTAAGTATAGTCATAGTTAAGTAAAACATCCAAAGACTCTTTGGAAGGTTATATCTTTCTGGCTAAATTTGAGGCTGTACCTTATTCTTGAGCCTAGGTGCTTTTGCAAACCAGGCACTGTTCTTTTACTTTGCATGCTGCTAAAGAAATTAGTGTCTGCTTTCCTGTGAGGTGAGGTAAATGACAAGAAAGCAGTTGCCTTTTGGGTTATGAAATGGAACTCCTGGGATGGTGCTGTCTGATCAGCACTGGTTTGTGAACTACAAGGCTGGCAGTTCAAACCCATCAGCTGCTCCTTGGAAACTCTGTGCAGAGTCAACATGAGTTGGAACTGACTCGACGGCACTTAACAACAACAAGAAGCATAGCTTTACTTGGCCTTAGTTAAGATATGTCACAAATGCTTTAAGTTTATTATATTAATTGACTAAAGCTTTATTTATTCTATTAAATTTATTCTGTTAAATTACTAAAAGCTTTTTACATTTTTCATGAGTTTTAATTTTAAAATTAATTTTTAAATGTATACTCAAAGACTCAAAATGAAAATGAATGCTGAAAGCTTTCTATCTACAACACGCTCCTCACCCCAGAGCATGCATTTACTTGTATGAATTCTACTTGATGTGTATTTTCCACCTGGGAGTTCCAGCATGCTTCTTGTGTTGACTCATTACCGTCATCACATCCCTGTGATATAGCAATGGGAAATGTCAGAAGTCAAATTCTACTCAACCCTAAATCTCCAAGCGAATTTTATCCTAAATAAAAGAGCTAGAAGAATTGATTGAGTATTAAGGTTTACTTATCTCATTGATTGCTTTTCCCTCTAGGCAGTATTGCCTATTTGGGGAGAAATTTTATACTAGCCTTACGCCTTTCTTTTTAGAGGTACCCTGCTAGTTTTGAAACAGTTCTTTGAAATTGATAGGCTCCAAAATGGAGCCAAACAAGGAGGCTCCTCAGTGCTTACTCTGGCCTGCAAAAAGTTTCTGAGGAGGATTTTGTTTCTGGACCAGCTTTGATTAATTAGAACGTTTTAGTTTGGAAGGGGATTGAGAGGAATCGCAAGTTAGAAGGCTGTCAGTAATGGTTGCTCAGGGAAGGAAGTATGTATTAAGCCCCTGTTACTGTTCATTTCAAGTGATTCATAACGACCCCATAGGACAGAGTAGAACTGCCTCAGGGTTTCCAAGGCTGTCATCTTTATGCTGCCACATCTTTTCATTGTGAAGCAGCTGAGGGATTTGAACTGCCAATCTTTTAGTTATCAGCTGAATATTTGAACTGTTGCCCCATCAAGGCTTCTTATGCCTCAAACTGCAGTGACAGAAAATTCCTTAAAAGTCTAGGTTCCTTGTAGTTCGTTGTTAAGTGCCGAAGAGTCCATTCTTACTCATAGTAACCCTGTACAGGGTTTCTGAGGAACAGCTGGTGGGTTTGAACTGCTGACCTTGTGGTTTGAAGTCCATGTTGTCTAGCTGCAAGTGTATAGTATATTTTCAAAATTGTAAACTGTTGTTAAATGCCGTAGAGTTGGTTCAGACTCATAGCAACCCTGTATAAGGTTTCCAAGGAGTGACTGGTGGGTTTCAACCATTGATCTTGTGGGTAGTAGTTCAGTGCTTATCCTACAGTGCCACATAGGACTCCTTATCGACTGTGGGGCCACTGTTTTAATTAAGGTACTAAAAATATGGTGAAGGTATACTTGTTTTAGGTTTTCATTTATTCTGTTAAATTGACTGAATTTTGTTCTTTTGTCTGGTAGGCTACTTGTTGTTGTTAAGTGCCGCCAAGTCAGTTCCGAGTATAGGATTTCCAAGGAACAGCTGGTGGGTTTGATCCACCGACCTTGTAGTTAACAGTACATACGTAAGTGATGCTTATCCTATAGCATCACACTTGTTTTCCCCAAATCCACAAATTATACGTTGTAAGATCACTGAGCAAGGAGCTCTGGTAGCGAAGTGGTTATGCATCAGGCTGTTAACCTCAAGGTCAGCAGTTTGAAACTACCAGTTGGTGTGCTAGAGAAAGATGAGGCTTTCTGCTCCCATAAAGATTTACAGCCTCAGAAACCCTGTACAGGGTTGCTATGAGTTGGAACTGACTCCACGGCACATAACCACCACCAGCAACCTCACTGAGCAATTATTTAACTATTTGTGTTTCTACTATGCTTTTACACATTGTTCTAGTTTGATGTCAGAACCAACTGATGTACCCTTTGGAAATTCCCCTAAGCAACCTAACTTACCTCTGTGTGAATCTTTGTAAAATGGCTCATTAAGAACTTCATCCTTTTTGTGACTTTGTCTGAAATTGAGACCTGATGCCTTCTGCCTGCTTCACATATGTACTGTAATTGTAAATTTGTTTGCTTACTGTTTTGAGTTTGAGTTCAGATGAGTATGCTATTAACTGAAATAATTGATGATTGCTAATGATGTAAAGTTTAAGTTCTTTTTATTTCTGAAGAATCCTTTATTGAGTTTGAAATTGCAAACTTGTTTCCAGGAATCAAGACATACCAGTAGCCAATAAAATGCTTGATGTTCACTTACTTAGATAAGAATGTGTTCTTGCACATATTAGAGTTTAGATGTATTTTAAATTAAGTACATGTTCTTTAAATGTAAGTTATCATTAAAGTGTTGCTTATGTTTTGCAGCTCCGACTTGGCATTTGATCTGGAAGGATATGTTTTTATCCTGATAAATGATGTCTTGACAGCAGCAAATGGTGCATACGTAAAACAAAAACTGGATTCAAAAGTAGGTAGCAATCTAAAGCTTCTTTAACAGATGTTTACTGATGTTGGGAATAGTAATGTCAGTTCATTAGGGAAAAAGCTGGAAATAAAAAAAACAAAGACACTTAGGAGGAATGGGAAAGACCTGAGGGTCTCTCTGAGTGTAAAAGTATGTGTAGTTTGGTGCTCATGTAAAGAACTGTATTTTTAATTAATTAATTAGTAATCAGATTTAGTTGCTGGCTTTTCTGGAAGGAATTGGGTGAATATTGCTAAGAATGTGCCAGGAAATGTAAGAGTTATTCATTGGAGAGTTGTTGTTGTTGTTAAGTGTCGTAGTGTCAGGTTCCGACCCGTAGTGACCCTGTATAGGGTTTCTGAGGAGCAGCTGGTGAACTTGAACCGCCAACCTTGCAGTTCGTTGTGGTTCATTGTAGAGAATGCCCATAAATGTTCATGGCTGTGTGACAGAGGACTTGGTGAGAGACCTCTGTCTGAGGAGGTGAATATCTGCAAGCCTTTGGGCAGACTTAACGAGAAGTGAGTGTTGGATAGAGTTGAAGAATAGGAGGCCCTTTGTGTATCTGTGGTACAAATGGTGGTAACCATTAAGAAACATCAAGATCTGTTTGTCAGGAACAACATGGATACCCTGGCCTAGATCTTATCCAGACTTTACCAAGTATTTGCTGTATACTTTGAATATATAGTTGTGTGCTATTGAGTGTGAATTTTATTTTTAGGTCAACAGGCAGCATGTATACAAAGACTTTATGAAGTGTTTGCAACATACTTTGAATATATAGTTGTTAATGTAATGTTGAGTCAAAATTTTACTTTTAAATCAATTCAGACAGTTAGCTATTTGAGTCACATTGCTTACTATATTATAAAGTTACATTGCTGTAAGAAACAACCATATGAAACACAGCTTTATAGACCCATCGAGTTGTTGAAGACATGTCTTGTACATTATAATAAACCCTCTGTAAGGATCAACATGAGATACTAATCTCAGATGTTACCAGTCTTTCCTGAGCAGTTGGTGTATTTTTATCTCATAATGATATCTTATAATGGACCATGGCTTTATCTTTATTTTCCTATCCATGTATTTTTTTAGTCAGATGCCCTAATCTGCTGGTTGTTTTTAGTCTACTCTGTTGTCTGTTTGATATCTCTGAAACTACATCAGGTTCTTGTTTGGAGCTTAGACTAATGCTCCAAACTCTCTACCTAATCCATAGCAGTGTTGGCTAATATCCAGTTGGTCTATTATTTGTGTGGGACAATCTTGGCCAGGGACTCTACTTTCTTCTCCAGAAAAGTAGCATAGTTTGCATGATCCTCCCAATAGCCTTTATTGTTCTTCAAGAACTAGGGATTATGTAGATCTGTTACCAACAAATTTTCTTTAAATGCATCTGGTAAGTCTTCTGTTTATTTACCCTGATGGCTCTGTCATGATTGTATTTTAATGGAAGTATTTTATTCCCAGAAGAATCCTTTAGTTCTTCACTCAGAAATGACTTAAGACTGATTCATACTAATTAAAGTTTTTAAGCTCATTGAGTTGCTTTTCATAATCTATGGTTTAGAAGCAGAAAACTAGAAGGTAAAATTCAATTTAGATGCAGACAGGTTTACCAGCCGTTAAAAAAAAAAGTCAGCTAACAAGAGAGACAAACTGTAAAACGCAGATATGGTTGTGGTGTGCCATGGAGTTGTTTCTGACTCATAGAGTATATGGTTTTCAAGGTTGTAAATCTTTACAGGACCAGCAAGCCTCATCTTTCTCCTGTGGGACAGCTGGTAGTTTTGAACTGCTGGCCTTGAGTAACCATTGTACTACCAGAGTGCCTTGTAAAATGCAGATGTTATTATTAAGTGTTGTCGAGTAGGTTCTGACTTATAGCAACCCTGTATAGGGTTTCCTAGGAGCAGCTAGTGAGTTTGAATCGCTGACCTTGTGGTTCAAACCAACCTTGCAGTCCAGCACATTAACCCACAGCACCACACCAGAACTCCAAAAGTTATACAGAAGCTATTACATGGCCGTATAGGTGGTACTGTATTAGAACACAATACAATAATACATGTTGATGATTGATACTCCTCACTTAAATTATACTTCGAGTACTCTGTTTAAAAAGGCAGGAAGAAAGATATTCAAAACAGTTAAAATGTAGAGAGAAAACCCAGAAAAACTTTAGCAGTTAAATTTTTGGCATTTGTCAGTTATTGGCATGATTTGTCATATATATATATATATATATATATATATCCACATCCTCATTTCCTGTGTGACGTGCACTAGCCATGCTGCTGGCACGTGGGCACTGATTGTTAGAGTTTGTTTTGTTCAGGTATCATTTTTCTTGATTCAAATGGAATACTTTTTTATCAGTGCTTTTGGTGACCATAAATATTCAATTATTTGGTTTATCCTGGAGGCAGTTTTATTCTGGTAAGAAGCTTTTAATAAACCAGGAGTTTTATTAACTATACTTTTTTGAGCCTACGTTATCTTGGTGTTTTGAGTATAAAATTATGACTATATTTCAGAGTTGATGGAGCTTTTGAATTTAAAACATTTTTAACTTTTAAAAAAATAATGCAAGTAATAGCGATTTATGACAGATGTAGAAAATATAGATAAGAAAGAAGGAAAAATAAATCTCCCTTTATTCTACCATCAAGTAAGAAGTATGGTTTTGGTGGATAATCCTTTTTCGTATATATCTGTGTCTGTGTGTGTCTGTACATGTACTATATAAATTTTAAACAGAAGAGGAATTTTAAACAAAAGAGGAATACCCATTCTGCACTTATCAACATGGTTAGGTTCCAAAGACAAGGCCGTTAAGCAAAAATTGTCCTTATGCGAAAATGGAGGATGACCATATTGGATCACAGAATTCAGGATGGCTACATCATTATATGACTCTCAAAATACATCATTACCTAGCTAGCAAATTACAACATTATATAACTGCCATGCCACTGAGAATCATGGCCCACTCACCATCACAGCCAGTGTTATTCTCACCTTGAACCTTAGCTTTCCTAACTGTTGTTAATGTGCAAAGTAGTAGAATGGTAGATATTTACTATTCTAAGTGTGGAATGTCTGATAATGAGATAGTCTTTAATGGAGGAATAGGAGTCTTGGTGTGGCACTGTGGGTTAATGTACTGGGCTGCAAAATTGGTTTTAACTACAAAGTTGGTGGTTCGAGCTCACCAGCCACTCCTTGGAAACCCTATATAGAGTCGCTATGGGTTGGAACCAACTCTACAGCATTTAACAAAAATAATAGGAATATAGTGGAGTTGCAGTGTGACACTGAAGGATAATGCGCTGGATTGCAAGGTCAGTTTGAACCACTAGATTAGTGGTTCAAAACCCTGTACAGGGTTGTTATGGGTTGGAACCTACTCAATGCACTTAAAAACAAGGTGTATAATATTTTATAATGTACATTTTTCACTCAGTACTGTTTTATGAACACCTTTCCATGTTTATCAGCATTATTACTTTTGCTGTTATTTATTGTGTGCCATTAAGTTGGTTCTGACACATAGCGATCCTGGATAAGGTTTCTGAAAGTGGCTGGTGGGTTTGAACTGCTGACCTTGTGGCTGATTACCAGTCCAGTGCTCATCCTGCAGTATCACACCAGGGCTTTTAAATTAAACATTTGTAGTGGCTTTGTAATGTTTTCGTGTATGGCTGTTTGTAGTTTAATCAACTAGTTTTTCTGTTGTTGATTATTTGTAATTTTTCAAAGCTGCTTTTAAGAAGGTGGTTTGATGTCTGTCTTTTTTCACATTCAGTAAGGAGCTCTCTTAGCGTTGTTGTTGTTGTTAAGTGCCTTCGAGTCGGTTCCGACCCATAGCGACCCTGTACAGGGTTTCCAAGGGTGTAAAT